ATGTTTTACACTGAAAGAAGAAACACCAAAAATGTTCAATATAACTCTACAAAATGGAAAAACTGGGAAGACTAAACTGCATGGATGAGAAATGCCTATAAGATTATAAAATCCACCTAGTGGTGGAACACTTGCCTAGCATGTGTCAGGCCCTGGGTCTTTGATCCCCAGAACACACACAGGCACTCATGCACACACAATGGTAGAGGAGTGCTCATCTTGTAAGGTAAGAACAGAGCACAAGTGGGCAAACTTCCTGAGGACAGGATCCACTCTTTACCGTGACTTTGCAGTGTTGTATGTGCAATACTAAAAAAACATTCTTGGGCCTGGAGAGATGGCTCAGCAGTTAAGAGCACTGGCTGTTCTTGCAGAAGACCCGGGTACAGTTCCCAGGCCCCACATGGCAGCTAACAATTGTCAGTAACTTCTGTTTCAGGGGATCCAACACTCTCTTCTGACCTCTGTGGGCATTGCCTGACATGGTGCACATACATACATGCAGGCAATACACTCATATACATAAAATAAAAAATAATAAAATATTGTTAAGACATTCTAATAGAGTCTTACTTTATGAACATCTCTATATTGCACTTAACAATTTTTGAAAAGTTCTTAAAGTCAGGGAAACAGGTTAACGATAGAGAAAAAATACAACTCACTGCTATAAAGATGGCTCCTTAAGCCACATAAAAGAGCCCCTTTATTTGGTATAGTTTATAAAAACCCAAAGCTTTGTATTCTCAGAGGAATACACACATGTAGTAATGAAAATAGAATGAAAACAATAGTTGAAAGAAAAGTATCCAAAGTAACAGTGCAATGAAAGTCAAGGAAACAGAACACAAAGCAGAAGAAGCTTGTTGACAACACAAGCAGTAAGAAACAACAGGGTGAATGCTGAAAGAGTCAGAATTCCAATGATTACTGGATCAACAATCAACTGACGCTAACATATTCCTATCGGCAGTAAAAATTCCATTGTGAAATACCTGTCAGAACAACTATTACTAAAACAGATGAAAGATAACCATTGTTCAAGAAGATATGGTAAAAGGGGACCCTTGAGCAATACTTCTGGGAATGTCAATTAGGACAGTCATTGTGGAGTACAGTATGGACTTTACTCAAAAAATTAAAAATAGAACTGCTCACTACTGGATACATATTCAAAGGGAATGGACTCAGTATGTAACTAAGGTATTTGTAGTTTTATTTAAAATAAAATGGAACCAGCCTCAGTGTCCATCAGTCAATGAACGGATAAAGAATATGTAAATGTATGTAGTTGAATGTATTTAGCCTTTTAAAAAGATAGAAATTGTATTGGCTATGGTGGTGCACCCTATACTCCTAGCACTCAGGAGGCAGGGGCAGGAGGGTCTCCAGTTTAAGGTTAGCAGTATGAACTGCATAATAGGATTTTTGTCTCAAAAAAAAAAAAAAAAACCCAAAACCAAAAATGAATGAAGTAGCCATGATACCAGCTTTACACCTAACAGAATTAAAAGTCCTTTAAGGTCATTTTAGGTGGTTTGTGGAGATGACCTTAAATAACATTGACGCAGTCAGAAAGACAGTCCTTCCATATACTTTGCAAGTTAGTTTCTTTAGAGGAAAAGACTCCATTGGTTCAATGGTATCCTCTGCACCCTCTGACTCTTGGTTAATTGACACTTAGAGTAAGCACACAGCAGCAGGCCTGGTCTATTTTTGTCTCAAAAAAAAAAAAAAAACCCAAAACCAAAAATGAATGAACCAAAAAATAAATAACAGAAGGAAATCCTGTCATTTATGACAAAATGAATAAATCTAGAGGACATTATGTTAAGTGAGATAACCTTATGAGCTCACTTATACATGGAATCTAAGACAGTTGACCCCACAACAAGGTAACAAAATGATGATTACCAAGGGCTTGGCTTGGGGAAGGAAGTTAGAGAAAAGCTTTAAAATATTCCATGGAAGCTGGGTGTGGTGGCGCACACCTTTGATCCCAATGCTCAGGAGGCAGAGGCAGGCCGATCTCTGTGAGTTCCAGGCCAGAGTTCTAGACTCTGTCTCAAAAAGACAAAAAAAGAAAAATTCCATGGCTCTTCTTTTCAATTCTTAATGAATAATGTAATATATAGATTTCATTTTAAACAAAACACAAATTGCACCAGATTCTTCATTTTAACAAGTATTTTATCATCACCAAAAACAGTGATTTAGGGGCTGGGGAGATGGTTCAGTAGGTAAAAGCGCTTGTTCTGTAAGCACGGGAACCCTGGTTCAAATCTCCAGCACCCACATAAAAAGCCAGGCATAGCTACACATACCTATGACTTCATCACTGGGGAGAGAAGACAGGAAGGTCCTGGGAGCTCGCTCGCCTGCCAGACTAGCCAAAACAGTGAGCCACTGGTTCAGTGAGAGACTCTGTCTCAAGGCAATAAAGGCACAGAGCAACTGAGGAAGACATCCAGTACTCTGCTCTGGACTACATATGTGTGTGCATGGGTACATGCCTCTGTATACTCCCATATACATGCCACATACAAAAAGATCATGCTGAGGTTACATGCATGTGCCACCACACCTAGATAAAAACAATAATTTAAATCTTGCTATTTTATGATTAAGATACTTAGAAAGATGGCGAATTTTAATAATCTTAGTGATGTTGGAAAAGTAGAGACAGAACTGTGTATGATATCATCACTTAACCCACCATAAGTCAGGCGTGGCACCTCATACCTGTAATCCTAGCACTCTGGATGCTAAGAGTTCAAGGCCAGCCTGGGATATATAATGAGTTCCAGGCCAGCCAGGGGTGCCTAGAGACTCTCTCAAAACACCAAACCAACCAACCAACCAACCAAACAAACAAACAAACAAACAAACAAACAAACAAAAAACACTGTAATACTTTGCTCATATATTTTACAGTAAGAAGCAGGACATCCAAAATGAATTTTGGGGGTGCAGGCTGGGGCAGGGTTTCACTGTGCAGCCCCAGGCTAACCTTAAACTTGCAATTTTCCTGCCATAGCCTCTCAAGTGTTGGAATGGCAAATACCTGCTGCTACATCTGGCCCACACTTACTTTTAAAGCTCTAAATTTTCTTTTGAAAATAGATTTGAGAATGCAGAAATATAAAGTGCCATTCAAAATGGGTTTGGAATATAGTAACAAAAGAAAAACTAAGATTTTGCAGACATTTTGAACTTCAGCCAAATTAAAAAACTGTGCATCAAAGGACGGTATCAACAAAGAAAAGAGAATGAAAGAAAATATTTGCAAATCACATATTTGATAAGGAATTGATGTTGAGAATACACAAATAACTCCTATAACAGTAGCAACAAAATAAACACATTCAAAAGTGGACAAAGAACTTGAGAAGACCTTTCTTCAAAGATGAAAAACACTAAGTAAGCAAGTAAAAAGGTGTTCAGCACTACTAATCACTGGGGAACAGCAAGTCAAAATCATAGTGTCATACTACTGCAAACACAGGATGGCAGATTACTTCTAAAAATTCTAGAAAATTTGTTAAGTAGTGCTGAGGATTTGGAGAAACTGGAACTCTTGCCTACTGCAGGTAGGAATGTAAAAGGTACAGGTGCTACAGAAAACAATACTGTAATGTTACAAAATTAAACAGGATTACCACATAACCTGGCAGTTCTACTTCAGATGCTGTGTATACCCCAAAGAAATGAGTACAGGAACCCACCAGGATTTACGCATCCCTGCTCAGAGGAACACTATTCACAACAGCCAAAGGTGAAGGCAGTGGTTAAGAGCACTGACTGCTCTTGCAGAGGACCCAGGTTCGATTCCCAGCACTCACATGGTGGCTATGAACCGTCCTTAACTCCAGTTCCACGGGAATCCAAAGCCCTCTTCTGACCTCCGGGGCATTGCATGACATGGGTGCACTCACATACATGCAGGCAATACACTCATACACATAAAATAAAAATAATAAAATATTAAAAAAGGGAAATTTCTGACATACACTACACAAATGAATCAGGAACAGCATTCTAAGTGAAAGCAGTTTGTTACAAAAGGACAAATATGCATGATTCTCCACAAAGAAGGTATCTAGAGTGGTTAAATTCACAGAAATGGGCATTAGAATGGCGAATACCAGGGGCTGTGGAAGGAAGGAATATTAATATTCCTACAGAGTTTCATGTAGGGGAAATAAAGTTCCAGAGATAGATGGTGATGATGATCATACAATGTAAATGTACTTAATGTCACAGAACTATATACTTTAAAACAGTAAATTTGGGGGCTGGAGAGCTGGCTCGGCAGTTAAGAGTACTGCTTGTTCTTGCAGAGGACCCGGGTTCGAATCCCAGACCCACATGGCAGCTAACAACCATCCGTAACTACAGTTCCAGGGGAATCCAAAGCCCTCTTCTGACCTCCTGACCTCCGGGGCATTGCATGACACGGGTGCACTTATATGCACTCATAAACATAAAATTAATTAATGGTTTAAAATTGATTAATTTTAAAAAAGTGAAAAAATATATAAAAAATGCACATGGGAGCCAAGGAGATGCTCACTGGGTAGAGCAATTGCCTACCCAAGTGTGAGGACCAGAGAAATGTCCGCTGAGCTTCCAGCGCTCAAGAAGTAGATAGAGACAAGGGATCTCTGGAGCAAGTTGGCTAGCCAGACTAGCCAAATTGTATGCTCTGGGGTTCCATAAGAACTCACCTCAGTAAATAAAGAGGAGAGCAATTGAGGAAGACACTCAGCTTCAACCTCTAGCCTCCACATGCATAAATACACACATGCAAAATCATTCATACACATGTGTGCCAACAAACACAACATGCACCACCCCCACCCCCCGCCAAAGCACTCAGAAATGAATACTGACGACAGAATCACAGTCATCAGAAGGCATAAATACATAACCATTCTGGTGCGCAGGAAGGGGAGCCATTACATACTATTCAGCTAGACTTTTCTATTTGCACACTGTACCTGGATTTCAAGCTCAGCGATGTGCTGTTGCAGCTCAGCCACTGCAGCTATGCTATCTGCTTCCCGGAGTCTCACGGCCATCACCTCTTCCTTGTTCTACAGTTCAAATACAACACAGCAATAAACCATTTGATCTGGAGTTGAGATTTTTCAGATTTTAACAAAATATTAAGGTGCATAAACCACACACTGATATTATTCAGCAAGGACAGCATCTATAATGACTTAAAGAACATGGGGCATATCAGAGTTGGTATTCCTAATATACTCTAGAAGAGCACTAATAAACAATTAAAAATTAAGTAAAAATCCTCCATCTGTCCCTAAATTCCTCTACTGTTCTGAATCTTCATCAATTACTTAGATAAATTCAGAGAAAACAAGTATCTTCATCAGCAAGTTCTGCAAATATCACCAAAGGGCATTTTACTCTGCTAACAAGTGGGAGGATAGCATTAAATTCAGCAATATTTTAACTAAAATGTTTAAAGAAAACTGACATGAATATAGAAAAGATTAAATTTAGCTCTCTATTTAAGGCAAATCAGCAATTTGACATAAAAATTCAATCAGATATTAGTGTAACAAATCAGACTGATATAACCTCATTGTACATCATTTTATTTTTCAATTAGTCTAACTGCATTTTTTGAAAGGGACAAAGCTTAAGTTAGTACAAATTTTAGTACTGCCTACAGATTTCTCCAGTGTAAAGTATAACAGTCATGTATATTTATTAGGGTGTAATTTCATCTCTGGATTCAGTGACACTGATAAACCACTCAAGCTTCACTCTTGGTTTTTAATGACACCAGAACAAGTTGATGGAATTACAGCTTTATATGTGTCATTGAATCATAAGGCTTGAATGCATGAGGAGCATCATTCCTGTCTGCTAAGTAGATGACTAGTGCAGGGTAAAATGTCGTAACTTCACTTTTAGCAATCCATTCTAAAGCTCAAACTATAGTCTCTTTAGTGACTTCTACATATACTTGTGTACAATCATCCACACCCTTCTTATCCTCCTCCTGACACCCCACACCATCTATCCCTCTCATTACTGCTAAATCTACTGTGAGTTTATTTCAGGAAAAAAAATATATACTTGATTTAAAATATTTTTTTTTAATTTTATGTGTATTGCCTGCATGTATGTGAGTGCACCCGTGTCATGCAATGCCCAGAGGTCAGAAGAGGGCTTCGGATTCCCCTGGAACTGAATTAAGGGTGGTTCATAGCTGCCATGTGGATGCTGGGAACTGAACCTGTGTCCTCTGCAAGAGCAGTCAGTGCTCTTAACCGCTGAGCCATCTCTCTAGCCCTGATTTAAATACTCAATGCTTTTTGAATCAAACACTTTACGAAACAAATAAAAACTGATTTAAAAGAATAAAGGAAAATGTACTCATTTTTCTCAATCCACTTTTTTTTTGGTCGTTTTGAGATAGAGCCTCCCTGCAGCCCCAGCTGGCCTAGAACTCACTATGTAGACCAGGCTGGCCTTGAACTCAGAGATCCACCTGCCTCTGCCTCCTGAATGTTGGGATTAAAGGCATGAGCCACCACGCCCTGCTTGCAACCCACTTGTACACATGCACACATTTCTCTTGCTCTCTATTCAGGAAAACATAGATACTTACTGCCTGAACATAAGTTTTCAATCAAAGCAGGGAGCCTCAACCTCTCCAATTACCTGAATATTTGGGTGAGTCATCACAAACCGGTTTTAAAGAGAGAACTAGACAAGAGAAACACTGGAAAGGCACACTAGTAAATGCCAATGTAAGACATTAAGTTAACCAAGGTCAAGCCTGATAATGAGGTTTGTCTGAAATTCATCACAGAAGCAAGATGGGCCAAATTGGTCTGAAAGCAATCACTAAAACAAGTTCAGAAAAATCATTCAGGTTTGGAGTACACCTATGGTCCTAGCACTGCGAGGCTGACGCAGGATGATCAAGAAGGGCTTGAGACTAGTTTGATGTACATAGCAAGTGCCAGATTAGTTAGCCAGGGAACACTGTGAAATCTTGGAAGAGGAGAGGAGGAGGGGGGAGAAGGGGAGGAGGAGAAGGAAGAGAGGAAGGGGGAGGGGGAGAGGAGAATGAGGGGGAGGAGGAGGAAGAAGGGGAGGAAGGGGAGGAGGAGGAATCCAATCATGATGAAATATATAAAAGGCATTACACTGACAAGAATAAACACTCACCTTACATTCAATCTCTGCTTGTCTGCGCTTTGCTTCACCTAACTGGGTGAGCAGCTCTTTGTTTTGTGTAGACAGGCAGTGCACCTTCTCCTGCAGACTGCTCACTTCTTGTTCTGCTCTTCGAAGATGGTTACTATTGATCTGGTTCTAATAATCAGAAATATAAATAGACACACTATAGATAAAAGGCCCAAAATTTGAAATAAAATTTTATCTGCCTATTTCAGACTTCAACAATCTTATAAAATATTATCAGTCTATTAAACAAATGTGAAAAAAAAACACGATCTAAAATTGCTTTAAAAGTCTAATCCTCAGGCTCAGTGAAGTGTGTGGCACATTCAACTCCAGCACTCGGGAGGTTGAAGCAAGATTACTGAGCACTTGAAGCCAGCCCTGACTACACAAGCAAGATCCTATCTCAAAAATTCTCAAAAAATGCAGCCACTCATACACATGAAATTAAACTATTAAAAATCTTTAAAAGAAAACCCTAGTCCTCCAAAAGAATATATGCAGATCTATGCTAGAAACTCTCAACTAATACACCCAGGCATGGTGGCACTCACATGGAATCCCAGCTTTTGGAAGACAGAGGCAAGAGGACCAGGAGTTCTAGGTCATCCTTGGCTCTGTAGTGACTTTGAGGAAAGACTGGGCTATATAAGACCCTGTCTCAAAAAACCAAAATAAATACATAAACAAAAATTTAAAACCTCAAAATACTATTGATTTTTTTAACCTATAAACTATAAGGATTTTTACATACAACTTAAAGATACTTATTTCTCAAACAGGCAAAGAAGATACAAAGTGGCTAGATAGAGAAATGATATATTTTTCTTAGAGTCCTGAAAAGAAAGTACATGCTCACTGTAATCCTCCTGCCTCGGTTTCTGAGTGCTGGGATTATAGGTGTGAGTCACCATGCTCAGTCACTGTTTCCTCATTTGATAAATTCATACAAAAATACTTGCTACTTTTCATGTGTTTGTCTTCAGAACTAAATGAGATAATACATAAAACAGTCTTATATGTAGTAAGATCTCAATAAATATAAGTTCTTTAATCTTGGATAAGTTATTTAATCCCACCAAATTTCAGTATACTAGAAAAAAAATGTTGATACGTTCACTTGCCTTTTGAGGCTCTATTAGGAAGAGTGAGAAAACTATGAAAAGGGCATTACTCAGTGCCTGAAATTCTAGACCCCTGATACATGCTCAGCTGGTTCTATCTACTCACTCTGCCTCAATCTCCGAAAAATGGTGCCACCTCTAGGTTTAATGAACAAAATATCAATAATTTCAGACAGGCTCCAAAACTTTCTCCCACTTCCAAATTTCTTCACTTTTCCTTTTCTTCCTCAGATATTCTCATAATATCTACTGAGACCATCCACTGTCTTCTATTCTTTCTCATTCTTACACAATGATCCCTACCTACGAAGTAAATGAAGTTCTTAGTACTGATTAAAAACATCCTACACAACCTCTTTGGTTTCTTATCTGCTACCACTTAAGCAAGTAACTCTATCTCAAAGGGATATTCCCTCAACACAATACAACACAACACAACACAACACAAAGAATTCTCACAGATAAAATTCTTTCCCACAAATAAATTTAAAACCATGACTCAAGACACGATTTTGAGTGAAAAACAGTAAGCAAACCAAAAAAGATAACAAGAATGTGTTTTAAGAACTCATAATAAGGAGTTAGAGAGCTGGCTCAGCAGTTAAGAGCACTGGTTGCTCTTGCAGAAGACCCATATTTAGTTCCAACATCCACATGGCAATTAACAATCATCTGTAACTCCAGTTTCAGGGGATTTGATGCCATCTTCTGACCCCTGTAGGCATTGTATGCACATAGTACACTTACATAAACACAGGTAAAACTCTCATACACATAAAATAATAAATAACTCAAAAACATTTTATAAATTTTTTATCTATTATTTTTATTTTATGTGTATGAGTGTATTGCCTGCATGGATGTGAGTGCACCTGTGTTGTGCATTGCCATGGAGGTCAGAAGAGGGCTTCGGATTCCCCTGGAACTGGGTTAAGGATGGTTCGGCCCTCAAAAACATTTTAAAGTTTATTTTAAGGAAAAGAACTCAGGGACTGGCGGAATGGCTCAGTGGTTAAGTACACTGGTTGTTCTTGCAGAAGATCAGGGTTTGAATCCCAGTACCCACATGGCAGCTAACACCTGTCTGTAACTCCAGTTCCAGGGGATCTGACAGCCTCTTCTGTCCTCCGCAGGCATTGCATGACATGGGTGCACTTACCTACATGCAGGCAATACACACATACACATAAAAATAATAAATAAAAAATATTTTTTTAAAAAAGGAAAAAGAATTCAAGCCAGGTATGGTGGAACATGCCTTTAACTCCAGCACTTGAGAAAGAGAGACAGGCACATTTCTACATAATTCCAGGCCAGCTAGGGGCTACAGGGAGACTTTGTTTCCAAAAAAAGCAAAAAAGTCCAAGAGAGGGGGATATTAGGAAACAAGTGTTATCAAGGGGGAAATGGAGAACATGGGGAAGGGAGGGAGGGAGGGTGTATTAGTTACTTTTCTGTTTCTGTGATAGAAACACTGACCCAAGCAATTTATAGAAGGAAGAGTTTATTTGAGGTTACAGTTCTAGGGGAATTACAGTCTCTCATGGCAGGGAGGCATGGTGGCTGGAGGTGGCTTGAACAGGAGCAGCAGAAGCTAAGTGCTCACATCATCACGCAGGCACAGGAAGCAAGAGAGCAACTGGAGATTTGGCAAGGCTTAAGAACTCTCTAAGCCCACCCCCAGTGACATACTTCCTCCAGGATAGCCATACCTTCTAAAACCTCCCAAAACAGCGCCATCATCTGGGGACAAAATGTCCAAATACTTGGAGCCTATGGGGAACACTTTCATTCAAACCACCACAGAGGGCTATACAAAGAACCATGGGGGTAAAGGGGAAGAAGGAACTCAAGAGAAGGGAGGATAATAGGAGACAGGTATTATCATGGGGGAAATGAGAAAAATGGGGGCACTTAAACTGGGGAGGGAGGAGGAAGGGTTAGGCAGGGAGTGAGAGAGAAGAGATAGATTAAGTGATATGAAAAACCAGAGGGAAATGTATTACTTCAAAAGCCTACTGAAACATACACATACAATTATATGTTTGAGCCCATGTGTATAGCTGAAGGCTATATAACAAGGACCACAGTGCCAGAAAGGAGAAACCTCCCCTCCAGTTGTTGGTCAGGGTAGTTTAAGAGACTCTCAAAATAACAGAGGCTACTGCTATAGCCCTTGATTTCCCCCCAGAACTTGGAGGTAAGACCCTATTGCTGAAGATAGGACATACTTCAGACGTTGGACTTGAAGCATAAAGCTGAAACTGGCCTGGAAGCCTCCTCCCTGAAGACTAGCTCTCCGAATATCTCACAGTATGGATACTTTGCAAGCTGCTTTAGGGAGAAAAATCAATCAATGGTCCTACCCAACTGCAAAGTCTAATAACCACAACTGTGACCAGCACAGCAAACTAGCCCTATTGGTGAAACTGTGTCACTTTTATCTTGGGGATAATCAACAGCTATCTAACAGGACTTAAAACTTACTCAGTGGGCGAGAACTCATGTGTGGTACTATAAACATAGCCAAAAACACATGGCTAGAGAGGTCATAGATCCTAGAGAAAACCGTATGTCTGTCATATCTCTAGACAAGTGGTGTACCTCTCACCACTCATCAAAGAAGCTTCTTTTTGCAACAGATAGAGACTGTTACAGAATTGCACAACTGGTGAGAATAAATGTCTGTGAGATGCCCAGCCCTAAGAGACACATCTATAATGGAACCTCTACTCCTAAGGCTCACGGAACATAGTGGAAAAGGAGTTAGAGAGAATATTAATGCATGTTTTACCTCTCATCAGTGAATCTTCCTCATTCAACAGATGGTGATTAACAGAAAGCCACAACTGGCCAAAGTGTGTGTTCCTATATAGGACTCCTGTATTAAACCTCTTACCCAGGGCTCAGGGACCATTGCAGAAGAGAGGGCAGAAACATTCTAAGAGCTAGGTGTGGTGGATGATCACAGGGAAACAAGTTTTTCAGGTTGCTGGGTACTTGCTCATATAAACTTACAGCAATGGTGACAGTATGCACAAGACTCTACATGCAAACTCAAAACAGACAAAATCCCAGCATAGAACTGGGGAGATGAGCAAGAAATCCCAACTTTAGCTGAGGAAATATTGAAATACCTGATCATTGCTGGGTGAGGGAGAGTTGGTCTTCTTTATGGGAGTGGTGCTAGATAGGCTGACCAGGCTCCAGTGGATGAATTCACACCAAGGGGCATCTAGGGACACAAACTTGACTTGATAGGCCTTAACATATATGATAAGATGCATGAAACTCTAGTGGGGAAGGATATGGGAGGTAAAGATAGGGGAGGGAGTCTAAATATGATTAAGATGTATTATATGAAGTACACAAAAATGCATTAAAATATATTGTAAAAAATAATAAAAAAATATATTGACCAAAAAATTTTAAAAAGAACAATAAGTTATCTATATAAGGAGTTTATATAAAATAAATGTTTAAAATTAATAAAGACATAAAAGAATAACAATTTGAATGAGAAAGAACTCTTGAGCTCCTCAGTGGCAAGAAGATGCCAACCTACCAATTAGAAGTGTTCTCACTCTAAGTTCTCATGACAACTGAGAGATTGGTTACAGTCTGAAAGCGCTTGGAGGATTTTGGGATGCCAGCTGAGAGAAAGGATTTCTGAGCTGATTACGGAAAGGAGGTTAGCTCTGTGGAGTTGTGGGGAGTGAAGGAGTGTCAACACTGTAGGAAAACCAGGCTGGAGACAGACCAACCACTTCAATAATATCACTCAATAATTCAAATCAACTAGGATCTTTCTTTGTAATAATAAAATTAAGGAGTAGAAGGTTAAAAAAATAATTCACTGGAAAAACTGGTTGACAGTGTGGAATCAAAAGAATATCAAAAGAATAGGATTGTTGCTTATTATTACAACAATATAGCGAAATTAACCAAAGTTTGTCTGTGCCCACCTATTCTGTCAATGCACTGAATATCCACTGGACTTCCAAAAAA